CAACTGCATGTGAGTCTAAAATTATCTCAAAATAAAAGTTTAATTAAAAATATAAAAATATTTTTAAATATAAAATATATTTAAATAAATTATATTAACAAACCAAATTTTCTTGATGGAGGGTGTGTGTGTGTGTTCAAAATCCTATCATTTTCTATTCATTTATCTATTTTGATACCATTTATCAAGCCACAGAACATTTTGCCTACCCTAACCAGATATTTGTAGCTACTGAGGCATAGTTTGTTTTTATATTAGTATTTGTGAAAGGGTGGCAGGAAGAATTTTGGTTTCATAATTGTGATGTGTGCGTGTGCATCCATGTGTAAAGGTTCTTGTTTTTATTATGAGCATATGCTTATTGAAATGGGTGTATATTTTCATGTGCATCTGTGGCTGTGTTTATTTATGTGAATGGTAGTGGGTTGTGTTGTGTGTGTGTGTGTGTGTGTGTGTGTGTGTGTGTGAGAGAGAGAGAGAGAGAGAGAGAGGACACTCTGTTAGGAATTCTCAAACAAAATTATGATAGTTCTATTCACTCATTCAATTATTAAAGCAACACTCTTTGAGTGCCTACCCTGTTCCAGGCTCTGGTGACAGAGAGATGACTAAGGTAATGTCCTTACCATGGGGAATTCCCACTTTTTGGGGAAGGGGGATGTTTAATTACAGCACAGTGTACTGAGTGCTGTGATAAAGCAACGTATGGTGTTCTGTGGAAATGCAAAGTGAGAGTATCTAATCAGACTGGGGATAGTAGTAGACAGAAAAATCTTCCTAAAAGGTATAGTGTCTGGGTGGAGTCTTAAAGTTTGAATAGTTGTGTATGTTTCAGAGTTGCAGAAAGAAGGGGGCTGGAAATAGATACCAGCTATAGGATTGTTATATAGCATATGCAGTTTAGATAAGGGTCTTTGTGGTGGGAGGTGCAGTGTGAGCAAGCACCTCCAGGAGTACATGGGATAATACCCTGGAGTGTGTGAAAATACTAGGATTCATATATATATATATATATA